ACATATTTTTATTTTACACTTAAATGTTACTTAATTTTGATTCTTTTCTTTTTACATAAATTCAATTTTGAATTGTTGTTGGTGCTGTTGTTAGGTGCCATCCAGTCGATTCCGACTCATGTGTACAACAGAAGGAAACACTGCCTGGTCCAGCGCGATCCTCACAATTGTTGTTACGCTTGAGTCATTATTGCAGTCACTGTGTCAGTCCATCTCATTGAGGGTCTTCCTCTTTTTCAATGACCCTCTACTTCACCAAGCCTGATGTCCTTCTCCAGGGACTGGTCCCTCCTGATAACACGTCCAAAGTTTGTGAGACAAAGTCTCACCGTCTTTGCTTCTAAGGAGCATCCTGGCTGTAGTTCTTCTGAGATAGATTTGTTTGTTCTTTTGGGGGAAAAAAAGAAAAACATTGCTATTAAGTCAATTTCGACTTATAGCAGTCTATTCAATATTCTTCACCAAAACCATAATTCAAAGATATCGATTCTTCTTTGAGCATCCTTATTCATTGACCAGCTCTCACATGCATATGAGGTGACTGAAAACACCATGGCTTTGGTGAGGCGCACCTTAGTCCTCAAAGTGACATCTTTACTTTTTAAAGAGGTCTTTTGCAGCAGATGTGCCCAATGCAATACATCGTTTGATTTCTTGACTACTGTTTCCATGGGCGTTGACTATGGATCCAAGTAAAATGAAATGCTTAACTACTTCACTTTTTTCTTCCTTTATCATGATGTTGCTTATCGGTCCAACAGAAAAAAAACAAGCCCTTGCCGTCGAGTCAATTCTGACTCACAGTAGAACTGCCCCTGGTGGATTCAAACTGTTGATCTTTTGGTTAGCAGCCAATCTCTTAACCACTGCGCCACCAGGGCTCCTTATTGGTCTGGTTGTGAGGATTTTTGTTTTATGTTCAGGTGTAATCCATACTGAAGGCTGTGATCTTTGATCTTCATCAGTAAGTACTTCAAGTCCACTTCACTTTCAGCAAGCAAGGTTGTGTCAACTGCATATCGCAGGTTATTAATGAGTCTTCCTCCAATCCTGATGCCCCATTCTTCTTCATATAGTCCAGTTTCTTGGATTATTTGCTCAGCATACACATTGAGTAAGTATAGGGAAAGGATACAACCCTGACACACACTTTTCCTGATTTTAAACCATGCAGTATCCTCTTGCTCTGTTCAAACGACTGCTTCTTGGTCTATGCACAGGTTCCTCATGAGCACAATTCAGTGTTCTGGAATTCCCGTTCTTTGAAACGTTATCCATAATTTGTTATGATCCAGACAGTCAAATGCGTTTGCATAGTCAATAAAACACAAGTAAATATCTTTCTGGTATTCTCTGCTTTCAGCCAAGATCCATTTGAGGTCAGTAATAATATTCTTTGTTCCACATCCTCTTCTGAATCCGGCTTGAATTTTTCACAGCTCCCAATTGATGTACTGCTGCAGCTGCTTTTGAATGATCTTCATCAAAATTTTACTTGCGTGTAATATTAATGATACCAAAACAAACAAACCTATTGCTATCGAGTTGATTCTGACTCATAGCGACCCTATAGGACAGAGTAGAACTGCCCCATAAGGTTTCCAGGGAGAGGCTGGTGGATTCGAACTGCCGACCTTTTGTTTAGCAGCCAAGCTCTTAACCACTGTGTCACCTTTCTTTGGAATGGGCACAAATATGAATCTCTTCTAGTCTGTTGGCCAGGTAGTTGTCTTCCAAATTTCTTGGCATAGATGAGTAAGCACTTCCAGTGCTGCATCTGTTTAATTAAATTCAATTTTGAATTTTGAATTTTGAATTAATCTTTATTTTAATTTTACAGTGTACGTTTTACATCTTTATTTTAATTTC